GAAACACGAAGAGAATTTTACATATTATTTACATTAAAAAAGCCGAGATAGCGACTTGATGTGGTCTAAATATATAAGAGGTAGGCTAAAAATAGCATCGTGTGAAACAATCAGATATAGGCGCGTACCATCAACACACATGTAGACTTTTGGCAGACACCTTTGCAAGGGGGCGGTAATTTACAGCTTCTTTGTAAATTGTGAATGAAAAACTTTGTGTTTTCGCCTTTCATAAGTCGGGCAAATATTTTAACTCTATAATCAAAACAAGCGATTGACCTATAAGATAAGATACGTGAGAAAAATCGTGATTGCTATCAAGATCAAACAAAATGAAGAGCATTGATAATGCCGGCCTTAAAATAATAAACCCACTCGTGTTTTGTCAGAAAAATATTAATCAAAATATATCTGTTAAAGCAAGTTTTGAAAATATTTATACCTTTCACCGCATGAATCAAAACAAATCGGTTTTTTTATTTATAAATTAACATTGATATTGTATTAAGCTATATCCCACTACCTGCAACTTCATTTCCAAAAATATTGTTTTAGTTTGAAAAAAAATGTATACAATATGCCTTTATGAAAGAAATAAGTCGTTATTTTTCTTAAGAACGAATTACACATGACGAAATCATTGTTAAACGATTAAAACTGCAGCATGATATTTTGTTCCGGATAGTTAATTCATTTTACAAACACTATTTATGTGTGTCAAATAACAGAAGAATTCTACGTTATACCATTTTGAGAATCGAGCGCAAGATTATTAACTTTTTTTTTTTAGAAATATTCCGTCGGATAAACGAGCTTCTTATTCCTTTAAACAGTGATAGAAATATCATTTACACAGGGCTAGAGATCCGCCATATCGTCATTATTTTTGTCGCTTTGACTTAAATTGCAGCATAAGAAACTCACAATATGCGATATGACATTTTATAACAGGCGATATTCTTTTATATACCTGTAAGCTACAAATTCTGCAGTAGAGGAATTTTGAAACTACAGTGGTGGGCAATAAAACAGGACTGTTATCTACCACTGACATTAATTGGTTTCAGTTTTTCAAATATTCTTCTTGTATTATCATATTTGTATCATAGTTTGGGGACCTTTCTGTTGAAAAAGTGTCAGAGTTAAATCGTATACATATACATGCACAGTGCGGTAACTGGAGTGCAGGTATCAGTTACCCGCACTCCAGATAATGCCAGTTGATTGGTTCATTTTTGCTGGGGTTTACATATTGTGACGGCAGAGAAAGAGAAAGGGGCAGGAATGTCATATTCAAATGCTCGTTCATTGGTTCATTTTTTCTGGGGTTTCGTATTTTGACAACAGGGAACGTGCTGTCATGTTTGACTATGATACAAAAGAGAAAGAACACCAAAACAATTGTTGTATTGTGTTGTAAACAGTTGATTTTGTTTGCTTGATTTATGTAAAATATTAGAACATGGTCATGTAAATTAAATCAATAAAAAAAAAACAGCAGAAAAAAGAAACTGTTTATTTGTACAAGTGGAAAAAATGTTTAATTACGAACATAGGTTGTTTCCCTCAGATTCTGAAATGAGTTGATTTTGTTTGCTTGATTTATGTAAAATATTACAGTCAAATGTCAAATAGAACATGTTCATGTGAATTAAATCAATCAAAAACAGCAGAAAAAAGAAACTATTTATTAGTACAAGTTTTACGAACAGAGGTTGTTACCCTCAGATTCTGAAATGAATTGCCAAAGGCAGCACCATGTTTCCGTCAATTTCCTCCGGCAAACATTTCCGTGAAAGTTTACTAATAACAAGGTGGATATTGGCCAACCTGTTTCAAACAAAATGTAAGCCAATCAAAATGTGTTGCGAGAGAAGTAGAACATTAGCGACAGTCTTTTAATTAGGCCATCCATACGGTGTACAATGTTTAGAATATGAAGATATTTTCTCCCAACAACACACTGGCGCGTGGCTTAATTTCCCTAATTATGCCATTAAGTTCTTAATATGAATTAAAATATGATTACTAGATTGAAATTTCTATCAAAACTTAACGAAATAACTTCTGACATTTTTCTCAAAAGACACTCTTGATACTAATCCAAATTGGGTGTGTAGACGTTAGCAATGCATCGGTAACATAAGAGTAGGATAACAAGTAAAAAAAAACAACAACAACTAAAAGTGCCATGCAGTTTTATTTTTCATTTTCTGTTAACAAACTTGACTTGTTAATGCTTCTGTTGGTTCATTTTGTTTCTCTGTTTTGTTAACTAGAAAGCAATAAAATGTTCAAAATTTAAATGAATCTATTTCTATTTATGTGTTACAGGATTGAAGCATACTTAAAAATACAAGCGTCTGTAAACTCTGACATATTTACGAGCGTTTTAATATCAAGAATGTTATAAAACTGTAAAATTTACGAAGTATATGAGTTCTAAAAACATATATGACACAAAACAGACGTGTGCCTCATCGATTTAATGTTATTTATATTCGTAAAATATTGGTCAGTTGTTTTTTGTTGAGCCAGAAGGCTTAAAGAGAAGACTTAGATTATCTAGAGGCGTATATATACCGTATATTTTACTCTGTCTACACTTCTGAAAAAGTCATTTTGGTTTATACAAAGCAAGCCTTTTGATAATACATTCAAGCACGTATATCCTTCTTTCATTTATTTATTCTTGCGTTCAACACATTTATTCTTTTAAATCATTTTAAAAATTCACTTTCAACATTTTTAATGGAGCTCCATTGAGGTCCAAAAAACCTTTTAAAACATTAAGTTTGAAATTCTTACATGAATCAACTTGGACAATGAAATTGGAAAATACATGTAAAAAGTAAGAAAAAATATATTCAAAATTAACTTAGAAATTCATTATTATTGCGATTCTCAGACTGATTTAAGTGAAAACTGTCCAAACGCTTTTCATTTTGGGGTGATTTTGCACAATAAAAATGATTATTCTGGAAAAAACGGAGTAAGCGAATGTTCTGAAATTTGCACACAAGTTATTGGTACAGAACTTTATAAAGTATATCATCACGAAAAATTATTTTTCTTCAGACTAGTCATGTCAAAAACTGACATAAATGACATATGTATTCATATTTTAGAATTAAGCGTTTGCCTTCACGTTATCAGTTTATTATTTCTAAACGTGTGTAAAGAGGTAAAATATTAATATCCCATCATTATTTTATGAACTTTCAACGCAAAACACCTTTAAGATACTAAAACTATTTATGTTTAAGGTCAAATGCTAATTATTTTTTTAAATGAATCACAAGGAGTGCTAAATTTTCATTCCATTTTACCAGACCTGTTAGGATCTGAAAAAAAAAATACTTCACATCTCCGTTTATAGAATTTCCTTGATGATTAATATTCTAAAAGTAAACTTCAAAGAAAAACAGAAGTTGGCCGAAAACATTCAATATAAACTGGCTTTCACCGACAAACAAACTACAGATTGTACGGATACAAAATGAATTCTAAATCAACAATTCCGTCATTGACGAACTAAAATATATTTATTAATAGTTTAGTGGACGTGTTTATTTTTTAAATTTTGAGTGAAGTAAATGAATCAATTTTCAGGATATTCAAAATGATTGTTTTATGTATTGAGTAGATTCTAATTCATTTGTCTTCCTTTCAAATTGTCATACAAAGGTTTATTTGAAACACGTGCACGGAAACAAATAGCAATGTAGCTCCGTTCAAAAAAGACGTTTTAACGTCCCTTGTGGCAGAGGAAATTTGCCTGTATGGGTTGAGGCATCAGGGGGCCGTTTTATCAACGCTCTACGACACGTCGTAGACTAGTTTTTGTCGCAGACATGTCGCAGAACGTTAAGACCGTTTTATTAACGTTTGTCGTAGCCTACGACGTCGTAGAAAATGTCGCAGCTCTACGACAGGGTTGGGGCTGTCGTACGACGTTTCTGTGACGTCAAGACTGGCGATCACTGTTTACATGTAAACATGCTCAGCACATTATTTTTATTAAATAACTTTTTCAGAATAAAAAAAAACATATTTCAATTGTTTTTGTTTTCTTTTAATGTCAAACGCTTATATAAGGGCTTTATACATGCTCTCAAAGTATAGAAAGAAACAGAATATACAAATCTTATACCTTATAAAAATGTCTAAAATATCGTTCATTTGGAGCAAATATGCCCTTACGGTCATACTCTATTCTATTAATAATGAGTTCCGATGATTTCTTCGAAAAATATAGAATAAAAATAAATTTACTCACATCTTTTTTATTTCACATTTGGAAAAATCATAATATTTTTAATACTAAATTTTACATAAATTTAGATATTTCTTTGAAGAAAACCCATATGGTATACACCGGAAAGTTACCGTGGTCATGACCCCGGAAGAACAATTTTAAAAAGAAAAAAAAAAGTCAATAGAATATAAAAAAAAGTTCAAAAAGACAAGGCGACATTAACCAAAAGTTACCGTGGATGAAAAGCACCAATGTTTAAATTATCAAATTTTATGATAAACTGCAATATACAGTGAAGATATAATAATTCAGTCTGCACAATTTGCATGGTGTATTAATTATGCATTTTAATTCTTAAAAAAAATCTAGAATCCGAACTGTAACTACGTAATTTGCAGTCCCGGGGTGGGGAGTTATTTA